AGCCTCTCCCCGAGGCAATACTTTTGCTGAGTCTTAAGGAGACAATAATTGTAATCTAGCTATGGACTTTGTACAAGACTGAGTTTTCCTTTGATATTCTTATCCTTTGCACTGCAGGCATAGTGCTATGTGATAAATAGATGCTAATAAATGTTATTTTAAAAGATTTATTGTTATGTATTTATGCATACAGAACTGGGGTACAGGCCAGAGGTGAGAGGGTGAGAGGACTCACCAGAGATAGAGTGGGAGGCAGAACAGGCAGATCTACTGAAATATACTGCTGAGGGGAGCAGCAGGTGGGTCAGGAGAGGTCTGCTGTGCCTTGTGGCTCACCTCTCTGGCTGGGGATCAAACTTGTGCTATGGTGGCTGGTGATAGCTCGCTAGCATGGAGACTTAACTCCTGTGCCACCTGGGAGGCCCCTCATAAACAATTCTTACGGAAAAATATTCTACCCTCGAGGTAAAGCGGGAGATGGATTTTTATATATAGGAGCTTGGCAGGCATCAATTTAATTTCTCTTTCATCATTTATTTAGCTATTTTAAAATCACAGTTTTTGCATACCATTTTGTAAGGCTGTTTAACCACAAATATTTGAGTATACCTTTCTGGAACTTATTTTGGAATAGGTCTTAATATCCTGTTATCAGAAATGAGTTACATCCAACCTTGCCCTAAAGAACCCCCCTTTAGATTACTAAATTACCTAATTCAAGATATACAATTCATTTTAGGCAGCAAATTATGTCTAAAATAGAAACATGTTTAAGAAGACTTTTCAAGCTTTGCTATGTACTCCCCTCTACAGAGAATCAGTCTAAAGTATAGCACCATAATTTGATAAATAGCACTGTGATCCCACAGAACAATATATTATCTCTGCTACTCTTATTGCAACAGCTGAGAGCTGGCCAAAGATTTACAAAGAAGCTATAAAGAATTGGCAGGAGACAAGGCAGCTTTAGAACAAAAGTGTGGCCCAGGTCAACCACATAAAACTCAGCTTGCCAAAATTTGTTCTACAAATGGCATTGCACATTTTGCATTCTTAATAACCTGAGAAAATCATTGCAACCATTTGATAAGAAATTTGACAAAATTTCTGTACTTCAATGTACATGAAGAAATGGCCAACATAAAAGTTACATTAAAATTTGGAATAGATAAAACTTGTCTGCTAATAAAACTACTGAAACCTCAAATTCATACTTTGCTAGGAAAGCCTGACTGTCACATGAAACTTGGCAATGTTGCAAAGCACCGTATACAATATTCATGGACAATTTGGATTCTGGTCATTTTGTAAGAGGATAATAATTATTATCATCATTATCATCATTATTATTATTATTATTACACTATTATTCTCACAGCATCATGAGTTGGTTATGATTACCAGTGACTGATGTTAATGACATCAAACTGAAAATTAATGCTTACTGCATATCATCATTTTCACTGGGAATTACTTGGTTATTCCCATGGTGTGTTAAAATTCATAATTTTATCAATGGCATTTCTAACTTCCAATTCCTAGCTCCTACTAGTTCCACAAGTAAACAACTTACATATATTATAGTATTATAGTTCATATATGTTTTGCATACTCTTTTTCCATAAACAGATATATGTCTGTTCTACAATTTTGTTTAGATTCCACTAAAATATTTTCGAAAACCAATAGTAGTTAACTTTTAGGTCACTTTTCTACTTAAAACTTACTTAGCAGAAGATAATGGAGCCATAGTTTGTATGCCTTAATGTCAACATCAGAATGTTTGAAATTTTCAAACTTAAACATGCATGGACGGGAAAATATTATTCCAAACAGCACTACAGTAGAGGGATAATATTAACAATCACTACAGTAGAGGGAAAAGCACTAGATACTGCACTGGATAATATGCTAAGTACCAAGTCAAAATCCTAGCAATTTCGTGGGTATCAACGAACCGACTCTAAAGTGTATATGAAGAGCCGAAAGACCCAAAATATATAGCACAATACCAAAGAGGTAACTCTGAATGGTTAACACTACCCACTCTAAAGACTCACCGGAAAACTAGTAATCAAGCAAGACTGTGTACTACTGGTGAAAGAGTAGAAAAACACATAAATGGAACATAATAGAGCCCAGAAATAAATGGTTATAAATATTCAACTACTCTTTGACAAAAGAGCAAAGGTAATTCACCGGAGAAAAGTAGCTTTCAACAAAACTACGCTCAAGCAAGCAGCCATTTACATTCAAAAGGAAAATTAATAAATTATGGACCTAAATGTAAAACACAAAACTATATATTTTTTTAAATAGCATGAGAAAATCTAGATGACTGTGTCTTGTGATGACTTCTTAGATACAACACTAAAGACATGTCTCTTGAGGGACAAAATTGGTAAGTTGAACGTCACTGCAATTTTAAAATTCTTATTGGTGCAAGAAACTTAACATAATGAAAAAGGAAGCCAAGGACTGGGAGAGAATCTTTGCAAAACACATCAGATAACGGATTGATACCCACAGTACACTAAGAATTTTAAAAACTCAACAATAAGGAAACATTTAAAAAATGAAAAATAATTTGAACAAAGAAGATCCACACCAGGCTAAGAAGCAAATGAAAACATCATGTAACAGCATAAGTTATTAGGGAATTGTGAGTTAAAACAATGAGATACTGTAGCTCTTAGAATGGCTAAAATTCAAAACATTAACAGGACTAAATGCTGATGAGGATCGAAACAACAGGAATCCTAAGGCATTGCTGGTGGGGAGGCAAAAATTGGACTGCTACAGGGAAAATAATTTGGTTATTTCTTCCAAGCTAACATTATCTTACCACCTAAAGCAGTGATCACTCTCCTAAGTATTTATCAAGATGACCTGAAACTAGGTCTAATCACAAACCTGCACGCTAATGGCTACAGTCACTTCATTCATAATAATCAAATGGGGACACAATCAAGATGCCTTTTAATTGGATAAACAAACTGCACTATAATCTTAGAACAGAAAGTGATGTCCCGATAAAAGGAAATGAAATATACTTTAACGAAAGAGAGGGAGGAACTTCAACAAATCTTGCTAAGCATATAGAGTCTCGCCAGCTCACACTCCTCAGCAGGGTGTGTCAGTGGGTCCACCTGTTCTGCTCCCCAATCTGCTCTGATGAATCCTCTTGCTCCCCCACACCTTTGGTCTGTACCCCAGATCCTCTCTGTAAAACTAATAAATAAAATCGTAAAAAAAGATAAACTGAAAATGAGGGGACAAAACTAGAAACGCCAATAAAATCACAAGAGCTGTCTCAATCCATCAGAAATGCAAACCATGACCACAAAGGAGCTTCATGTGACATTTCTAACAATGATTACGGAATGGAAAAAAGTTCATAAAAGAGCAACAGAATCAAAAGAAAGAAAATATGAGGTAGCGGATCTAAGAAATACTCATCCAAATTGAAAAAGTTGGTTGAGGCATCCGCAGTAGACAAAAGAAACAGTGGAGAGAACGAATGAGCATAAAAGTCATAATGTTAGAGAACACATACACAGAAACGGGGTAAGATTTTTCCAAAAGGAAATGATGTAAAAGGCCTTCGTGAAAACTAAGGAGAAACAACACTGACAGCATGGGGATCTGGGAAGGCGCAAAGGAGACAAGATACAAAATATAAGTAAAGAGATGATTGCCGAAAAGCATGGAGTGAGGGACAGGGGTCGATGGCGCCATCCGGGAGGCCACGGAGCTCTGGGCAGTGTGATCTGAGACGGACACACGCCGAGACTTTATGATGAAGCTGCTGAAACGCGGCAACGAACACGGGACACTGAAAATACCAAGAGTGAAAAGGTAACCTGAGAGGGACAGCAGTCACGGCAGCTCGCGTTTCAGCAGGAACACTGAGAACAAAGGGCTTGGCAGGAGATGAGAGAGACAGAGACAGAGACAGAGAGACAGAGACAGAGACAGAGACAGAGAGACAGACAGACAGAGACTCCACCCAGAGACTGAAAAGTGAATCTAAAAGAAACAGGAAGACATCTTACTATAGAGGTTACTATACAGCGTCACAATAGTGACCAAGGAAAGACACTTACATCACTTAACATGGAGAAAGAGGACAGTGAGCCGGAGGAGGGAGGAGAAAGAACTACAATGTGATTAGCAGAGTGAGCCAGAGGGGCCTTCGCTTGGGCCTAAGGGTCAGACTCAGCAAAGGCCTACACCCAGTCCCCGGCTGGGGAGTGACCCACGTGGGCAGCAGACCTCTCCTGTCTCGCCTGCTGCTCCCCACTCTGACTCTGGTGAGTCCTCTCACCCCCTCCTTGAGTCCCCCCGCTCTGGCCTGCACACCAGCTCTCTTCAGCCAAAAAAAGAAAAAGAAAAAAAAATGAGGCAGAAACCTGACTTTTGGGTCACACAAATAGCCCATCATGTACCAACATCAGCAGAACTCTCCAACAAAAACTGATAGGTAGAATACATATGGCAATGAAAACAGAACCTAATAGTAAAATATAAAAGTAGCATTCATTCAGATGGCTTGATTCTATTTTTTGGTTGATATTTTCTAGCGCTGCGTGGCCCTTTCAGTTTCTTTCAACCAATTTCAGTAAAGCTTGTTTCAAAAAGTGGAGAGAAAGATTTCTGACTAATTATGGCATGACATATCATTATTAGACCCCTCAATCTAAGCGCGAAGGAGGCAAAGTCTCCCCATATAACTTGACGGGGTTCGCTCGGGCGCTGACAGTGCACCTGTCACCGTTGCTACAGCAAACCAAGTCACACGAGCGCGAGGCTGCTTTCAGTGATCGTCAGTCCTCAGTTACTGTCATTGTTATTATCTTAGTTAATTCCAGGTGAGGCTGGGATAAAAGGGAAGGTTGGGGTCAAGGAGCCTGATCAAGACTGTCACGTCTGTGACCCAGTTTCCCCTTCTGAGCAGTAACAAGAATAAAAAAAAGTAGACAATGAGATATTGCACTGACCATAGTCTGTGTTTTCCGGCTCCCAGCAATTTGATGGCCAAAAATAGGGTGTCTGGAATGGGAAAAAGTTGAATCCAGATTAGACATCAAGATTTAGTAATTTCTGATTTCTTTCGTAATTATCTAGAAAAGTTTCCTAAATCGATGATGTGTATTTCAAAAAATATGCTCATGAGGCATTGCTAGACATTTCTTCTCCATTTACTTTGCTGAGCAGCTTATGCTTCAGTCTCCAAGTCTCTGCAGCACCAGCAGGTATTGGAAATGCCCATGTACTGCTGATTTTTGTCATAAAGTTAAAAGATTCGATAGCATTCTTCAAATAATAAGTGTTGATTAACAAAGACTGAAAGCAAAGTATTACATTTGATAAGGCTGAGGATGAAATGTGTTTAAATATATCAATTTTTGCTATGATTCCTTCATCTCAATATTGCCATCAATAGATTGAAAAACTCAGCCATCAAAGTCTTTCCCTAAAAATCAGATGACCTTTAGGCTTCTCTCACCTAAATTAAAACAACTTTCTCCCGCCCTTAAAAAATATTGCTTTCCAAAGCAGTCTGTTCTAAATTTTTTAACTGCACAAAGCAGTAACTATGTTTTTAAATTCATGACACAGTTGGTTGATTTGCCATTCTAGAAAGTGATTTACAAAAAGTCAGTGGCTGACAAAGAAACTTTTATTGTTATCATGAGCATTTTATGTTTTCTAAAAGGCCTTATTGAGCCCTGACACCAGAACATGCTTGACTCCAGCCATGAGCACTTGTTCATCAAACTGTTAGCTCGGGTAATGGCGACTCTGGACTGACTGGCACAGTGATTCAGACATCCGCCTTGTGGATTTCATTATATTTCACTTCATGTCCTATAACATTAATATTGACATGTAGCAAGCATATTTGGGGCAATCTCTAATTACCTTTTTGATAATGTACCAGCTAGAGGGATTATCAAGGAAAGCATTATCATGTAAGCAAGAATCGCTTGAATCCTTGGGGGACAGCTGTTCTAAACTGTTGAAAATCCTCAGTGATGCTTTTCGTTGACCCTTGCACTTCCTGGGAATTGCTGTAGGCTAACAAGCTGCAAACATGGGGCGCAAATTAACTGTAGAAATTCAAAGGATAAATGAGCCACCAGAGAAGGGGATATGAAGGCTTTATAAACCCTTCCCGGCTGACTGCCTCACCTGAAGGCTCCTTGACTCCTTGGCAGGCAGCAAATGGAGAGTTTTTTTTCTTAGAAATAAAATGGGTCAGGATTCAAGGGGACCTGCATGGACTAGTGTTGTTGAAATGCTCCTTATGTTCCCTTTATGGTGCTTCTTATTGCGGGGGTGGGGGGTGTATGTGTGTATGTGTGCACGCACTTGTGTACATATTTAGTTCATTTAGACTCATCTATTTCAGTTAGGCTGGTCATGGGAATAGTTTCTGCTGCATTACCATTTTTTTTTATCCTTATGTCATTTACTTTAGTGAAAATTTTCTAACTGTAAAACAGAAAGGATGAAGCTATTTCAACCTGTGGTATTATGTGGAAATTTCATAAAACCAACATCCTTCACTAATATTGCAAGATTTTTTCCTAGGAAAAATATTTTGAGTTAGAATTAAAGGCAGCAGAGTTTAAGTGGACTTCAGAATATTTTAATCTAAAAGACGCTTTCTCCTTTCTATTGATGGCTTCTTTACCTATGATGACACTGAGCAAAATTAAAGCGTATTCTCACTAAACTTACTTGAAACCTGTAAAAGGTGCCGTCATCCTTGAGTGTGAGAACGTGGTCGGAGATCGGGAAGAAGTAGCCGTGAGCAGCCATTAGCGTTCCCAAATGGAGAGCCTCCACTGTTCGTGAGAACAAACCAACAATAAATTAAAAGCTTTACAGAGTGTTGATTAACAAAAGCGAAAAACTTTGTTCTGTTCCTGTTTGAGCACATTCAGCTGTGTTTGCATTTCAGCATTCAGAAAACCTGATTTTCTAGGGTTTTATTCTTCTTTCAGCTCGTTCATCCAAGATACTAAGATCTCTGTGACAGTGACTGTGAATGACACACTTACCCTGTGATGACAATCCATGAAACAAAGTTATGCAACATCAAAACTGGAAGGTATTTAGAAATTATAGAATCTGGGCCCTTCATTTTATAGATGGGACCTATTTACTAAATGTTAGTGCTTTTCCATAAACCTACTTGACATCTAAGTAGTACTTTAAGCTCTTGAAAGTATTCTCACATATGTTACATTGTGAGAATTGTGGTCTAATACCAGCAAATTTTCCAAGTGGATCATTATTACGAGATGATAAAAGTATGACTAAAGGTACCTAGACTGAGGTGAGAAACCAGGTAAAACAAATATGAACAAAGATGTAAGAAAAAAGAAGGTCATCTAGAATCACCTATGCAGTGCTGCGTGAGACGATAATCCTGTTATCATCCAGACTGCTCTAGCTTTTACACATAGAGTTACATACAATGTATTCCATACACGATATTCTAGATAGGGTCTACAGAGGTTTATTTGACGAACAAAATACATTTCCCAATGGGCTGGAACACAGTTGCAATGTTTTCTGTAAACAAATGCATTTCTTCTATAGCAGCCAATCATCTTTTCCCAAAAAATGAGTTAACTAAATTTGGTTCATTATTATGACATTGTACAGAGATGACATAAATTGATAAATTAAAATCTAAAAAACATGGAAATATGCAAACATTTCTTAGTTTAACATAATCACATATAAAATATAAAAATAACTACTTATATGCATAGTATATACTTGCAGATTTGTTTGTTTCTTAGACAAGTAGATATAATGATTCTTTAATGCTAAGATTCCAGGATCTGCTTCTATCTCCAGTTGTCAATTTTGGGGAGCTATGACAATCCAGCAAGTAGCGAGACACTAAGCTTTTCACTGTGGCACTGCTAGGCATAAGCATCCTGTCCACCCCCCTCTCCATGCATGTATTGGCTATTACTTAAGGTCATTGTTACCTTTTTTCTCTCGTGGATACTATGGAATGTCTTCTAATTGTTATTTAGCACCTGGTAAGCATTTTAATTGGTATCTTCTCCTGTCTCTGACCCCACTTGTACTTTGTTCTTATCACTAATAAAAAACATCTACCAACTACCCTTTTTGCCATATGAGTGGAAGACATTATCAAGTGAATCCAACTTTCCATATTTGCAGTGAAGTTTCCCCTGCACAGAATGCTTTTTTCTACAATTTTTTCATCAACTATATACACATACACACACACACACACACAAAACGTAATTAATGCATCTGATTACATAGTTTGAAGTCAAGACATTCTTAAAATCCATTCTGCTTACAACCACATACCCATATGCTCATGAATTTTATTATTAAAAGTTGGGAGCAAGTATGATGTAGGAAGAATAAAACTTTGGAGATGTCTCCTGTTACTTAAATCCTGTAAAGCCCCTCCATCTATTAATGAGGTTAGTAAATCCACCTTACCGGGTTGGCATAAAAATCAAGAATGTATGTGAAGAAGTTGCAATAGTGCCTTGTGCATACAAGATACTCAATAGGTGGTAGCTATTGTGTTTCATTACTTACACATTGGATCATTTTCAATTTTCTCTAAAGCGTTTTCAGAAAATATACTTTCATAAATTTGCTATTCAACTAGACTGAGTGAGGGAAGCTGGCAGCCCTAAATAGTATCTACTTACATCTCCTTTTTGCATATGGGTTTATGAAATTCAAGTGGTAAGAGGATCTATGAGGATTTCTGATTCATAAAAATGAGCAGGTGCTTCCAGACTTGGCCATGTTGAGTCCCTGGATGCTCCCATCAGATAGTGTTGGGCAGAGTAACACATTACATCCATTTTAGGATTTCGGAGTCAGGTGGCACAGATGGTTTGTCATAATCGTATATAAGATTTTTATTCCCGAAGTAGGAATATATTATTAACACCACATTATAGCAAAAGAAATTGTGTTATAGCACATGAGGAAGCTGGCAGCATACACACACTCGAAAGAAAAACTGAGAGGCCCAGATAGAGAAATAATTAAGAGACTGAATTCTAAGCTTAGGAAAGATTCTCACTGAAATAAAACAAGTGAGTGAGGGGAAAAGCAGTTGGGTGTTAACGTGCTGATGAAGATGGGCAGGACTGGTGTGCTAATGACACTGGGAGGGGCAGAGCTTATATTTCTAAAACACAATCTAAGTTGTAAACCAATGTTACAGTAAAGCAAAAATAAAAAAGAAAATAGTAAAAGTGAATCAAGGGAAGCTACAGAAGAGAGAATCAGAAGCCAACTCAATGCAAGAACATTACTTTCCTTCACCCGCTAGACACAGATTATCGGTAGACCTCTTTCACGTAACGCTGCCTCATTTAAGCTTGCGTAAGTACCTGCTTCTGAGAATAACAACGAACGAATTAGTGGATTTTATCTACACTTTTGAGGAATACTACTCATACTCATTTTTTGCTTAATAATATATATTTTTATTTCACCACACTCCAAGTGATACTTAGTTTCCTTTTACTATTAAGGAAAATTTGTTTTGATAAATGAGATTTAGTACAGATAAATTTATGGGGATATTATTAGCTAAAAGTCTAGTTTCTACATGACTCACAGATACTTCAGATATATAGGTCAAATCAAATCATTTCACTTATTATTTAAAAGGACGGAACTTCTAAAAACACCTACAATGTGACTTTGGGTTATTGGTTAAATAATAACTCGCAAAGTTGGAGACTACAGTGGTTATATGCTCCATCACAGAGATTCTAGAAAACATGTCTCCAAGAAAATACTGTCCAAGGTAAATACTGTCATGGAAAATCAGGAGTTGGGTAAAGTTTCTATTTCACTTAAAGCTATAAACTTGCATTTAGTAAATCAACAGCAAATGGAGATATTGGATCAATGCTTCCAAGAATGAATGAATAAATTTATGAGTAAGTGACATATCAAAAATATGAAAAATAATACACATTTTGTGTTGTGATAATGAACAATTTGTTTGGCTCTTCTAGGATAATGTAGATGCTCGTAATCTGTTTTTCAACATCCTTTTCCAGACCTTAAGGTGGGGTTGTTATAGAACTTGTATTATGCGGAAAGGCAGTGAATGCCAAAAAAAAAAGGTCTAAGGGCCCTCGCTGGTGGCGCAGCGGGTTAAAGCACAGCACTGAGAAGCTAAAGCCACTTCAGCATGAGTTCGATTCCCGCCTGCCCCAGAGGTGACCCACAGGGCGCGGCAGACCTCTCCTGACCCACCCGGTGCTCCCCTCAGCAGTGGACTTCACTGATCTGCCTGTTCTGCTCCCCACTCTGTCTCTGGTGAATCCTCTCACCCTCCGCATCTCTGGCCTGTACCCCAGTTCTATATGCATAAATAAATCTTTAAAAAAAAAAGGTCTTAAAGTAGAGCTGGGGTACATTTTCAAGGTTGAATTATTTAATGCTAATGATAACCACTTTCTCATGGTTCCGCTGCTTCTGAATCTCAGTGCAGTTTTAATCAGAATCTGGAATACTACTGATAGAACCAAGAGTTTAGCGAGTAACTCATTAAGACTGCCTTCCCCATAATCATACACCAGATGGCTCTGCCACATTATGTGTCTTAGCAAAAGAATCACTTATCAATCTTCTGGAGCATATGGTATTCATGTCACCAACCCAACTCAGTAAGTTCAAAAACAAACCTATCAAAAAATTCATTTATTTTCCATTGGAATATACAAGTCATGAATAAAATGAGAAATAGAACCCCAATCGCAACTGTGAAGATGTGAAGGGACTAACATAGCTTTAATTCATTGTATTACTTCACCTCAAACCCTGTAAAGGCAGAGTGAATTCTATGTAACATTATTTACTTTTGAACACATCTACTTCACAAAGTTATTATGAAAAATGTTATTAAAAAGACTTGGTTAATATTTAAATTTATAGGAGCATATATTCCTATGCTCAGTTCTATCTTCCAGATAGAGAGCATCATTTTGAAGTGATGGAAAGATTTCTCTGAGTCAAGAAAATAATATTAAATGTCAATAAGTCTTGTTTTTATTCTTGTTTTCATTATTTCTTCTTACTTTTACTTAGGCCTGACAAATACATTTTTTTCATTAGCAATATTCTTCATGTGGCCAGAATGGTTAATGTATGGGGAGAACTATTTTAGAAAGAAATATACTCAAAATAGGAAAAAGCCAGATAGAGAAATGCTAAAATACAGACAGAGGTAATAAAATAACAGGCATTCATCATTGTGCTTCTGAGTCATAATGGAAAGATTTTGTTGAATGTATTTTGCATTTAATCAGACAGGGGTGATTTTAGAAATACTTCAAAATATGGTATTTTTGGAATTGACATTTCAAGATATAAGGGTAGTCATATGGAAAAATTCACATATATTGGACATTTTGTTCTCCAACAAAGCCAGAAAAAGTAATCTATTATTATATTTCGGAATTCTGAGCTAACTCTATTGTGTCAATAGTAGGAGTTAGTGAGCGAAGTATTTGGGCTTTCCTTTAAAAAAACATTATAGAAGTGAATAGTATGGTGATGAGATAAAATGACCCTCTTTGAAAGGAATAGAAATAAGCACATTTTGGATCAACTAAACTTTGTGAAGTGTATTTTAACTGACAGAAGTAAGTGATATTTTCAAACAAAGGTGAGTCAGCCATGCTGTGAAAGCTCCCTACTTCTGCTCCCAACTACCTCACCTGTACAATGAGGATAATAAAAACCTGAAGTCAAAGTTTGTTGGGAGAATAACTGAAATGATAGGTGCAATTTGCTCAAGGTCTATTGATTATAAATGCTGCAAAAATGTGAGTCACTGTCAGCTACTTGATACTTGTCTGGTGTAGAAGACAGAGAGGGAACCTGGTGGTGGGTTTTGACCTCGGCTTCAGGACATGGTAAGCACTCCCAACTCAACGATACATAACGTATCTTGGTAATCAAGAGCGAAAGATCAGTGCCAAAATCACAGATTCAATAGCATAGTTACATTTGGTATCATAGTTACAGTGAAAGACTTCCAAAGGCAACATATGCTACATTTTGCATTTACGAATCATAACATGAAAATACCAGAGACTGATTAGAAATCAATTTAATCAAGAAAAGGGTTGGGAGGATTGATAAAAGAGCTGGTAAAAGATAAAATTCATGGCATCTGACAATACTGAGAGTAACAAAGACAAAGGAAGTGCAAAAGTAGTAGTCAGGATGGAGATCGAGTCTTGGGAAAGCATAGTAAGTTCCTAGGACTGAAAAAATAAAAAGTAAAAAAACCCAAGCAAATCCAATGTAAACATTGATACCAAGACTAAACGACTGTAGATGAATGATGGTTACTATGCATCTTCTTTTACTGTTAGAAAGATCAAGTATGCACATACTTACTGCATTAAACAACACCCCACATATAGGTCACACACAGTGACTGTTTCTCACTAGCTTTTCATACCTTAAGGTTATCACTACTTTTCAGACCATTACCGAAACACTATACCTCCAGTCTTAAATTGCAAAAAATAGTTTTTAAGATTCATTTTGTCTGTGAAGCAATAGTATTCTTTGTACATCAGTAATCCTTTACTTTCAACTGTGCTGATTTGATTTTTATACTGGGGTCATTTTTCCAGGGCTACAGTTTGTCGAGTGTCCCACTGAGGCGAAGATGAAATATAAATCTATTATGACTATGTTTTCCTTCCTGAATAGTGAGTTCTTATTTTCATTTCATGATAGCATGATGCTGACAACAGCTGCTTCACTGTTACTTACTTTAATCTGTGTAACTTGCTCAGATGGGCGTTTTTAAAGCTCGCGCGCTAAGTGAACAGAACTATACAGAGACAATAATGTACAGAATCAGAGCTACATTTTCTATGGCATGACTACATCAACTAGCTCAAAATGAGGCAAAAGTCAGAACTTAATGTTTCTGCATAATGTGATTTCTAAATCACCCTAAGGACATAGTCAGAAAAGCCATGCCTGTCCCCTCTCGGAGTGGAGGTAGATCAGCTGCATCAGTGCGTAGCCAAGCTTCTCTACCAGCCACTGTGTTCTCGGTTCACTGGAGGATTTTTAAAAAATAACAGTGTATTTTCTAAAAACTTAAACTTCATTTTTATTTCATCACTTTGAATTGTTTACCACATGTGAAGGTTCTTAACACCATAACTTCTTAAAGTCATAAAATGTGTCACATGTGTACAAACCTGTTCTAGGAATTTCCAAACAGAGGATGGTAGAAGTTGTTTCTAAACTCTGGAAATCAGTTTATTGCTACAGAACAATACATTACATTCACCACAGTAAGTGGGTTTGTGACTTAAATAAAAATATTACAACAACCATGGAAGCTTGGTGAAAACCTGGAATCACAAATAATGTTTTCAAACTTGGGCATAAGTGTAGTTAAGGCAAAATTATAAATCAAGGTGGTTTTTAGTATGTTCATAAAGGGAAACCTCATTGCTTCATAACTACTTACTATAAAAGTTCTATATTACAGTATTAATGGACATGTGTACAACTCATCCATTCTTTCACCAATCACCTGAATCAAATATAAAATGGATACTCTGTGAAAATTATAAAAATAGGCAATTTAGCTAAGTATACATTATCATAAAATTTTTGTAAATGCCTAAAACATAGGTTAAACTTAATTATAATTTCCATTCTTGTTTTGTAATAAAGGACCCGAGAAAACATTAAAACCACAAATTGGAAAAACATTGATTTACCTGGATCTTCTATAGTTAAGTTCTTTATTAACCACTGAACAATATCTGAACCTAGAAAAATAAAGAGAAAAATACAGACATATGTGAACATGTTAAGTTTAAGAATATTCAACTTTTAGCACTCATGTTGGGAACACTTATCACTGTTATAAGAGATTAAATATAAACCATAAGGGATACTGAAAACATACAGAGTAAATATGTAACTTCTCTTCAATGGAGAAGATGCAAACTAGTAAATTTGTATAAAAAAATAAACTTAATTTCATATATTAATTATAGACAAATGATTCATTCATCCATTCTTTTAATCAATATTTTAGTTCCCACTGGAATTCAAGAACAATTCTAAGCATGCTGTCACCATGCTTTATTTATAATGTGGCCCCTGTCTCCTTTCTGGTTGGCCACGTTCCGTCCTTGTATATCAAACTAAGTCAAACTTGTCAGTGTTGAAGACTCCAGCATGCATCAAACCTGGGTGTCTTCACGACGCTATCCCTGTAACTGTTTTCAAGGCCCTCATAATTAGTACAACCCTACAACATATCTTGGTTCTCACCTCTCTCTCTCTGCAGTTTACAGCACCCACCTTAATCTGTGTAGTTCTGTATTGTGCTTTGACCACATGGCACCACAACTACTTGTTTGATTGAAGACTTCAAGTACATACCTTAACTCGGCGTGTCCTGTTCATCTTTGTGTATTAGGAGCATAGCAAGAGCTTAATTATAAACTTGAGAAATTCAGGTTTTCACTTCATACAGAAGATGTAATGAATGAGCTAGGTTTTAATGTATGAACAATTACAAAATTTAGCTGCTGAAGGAGGCTTTCAAAATGAAAGGTGTCAATCAGTTAACAAAACAATATTTTAATGTATAATTTCTATATAATAGATGGTAAGAATAATAGAACTTGAAACTAACAAAACTGTTCATTTTGGAGGCTGAAGACTTGGATTTATTTCTATAAATCAGGCAGGAAAGGACAATGTTCTCTAGTAAAAGCATTCTGAAGAAAACAGGTATTGCAGAGTGCTGTGTTCAGTCTTATATCCTGAGATGTGACCTTTTCTTTATTAAAAAAAAAAAAAAAGGCCCTCCCTGGTGGCGCAGCGGGTTAAAGCACAGCACTAAGAGGCTTAAGCCACTTCCGCATGAGTTCGATCCCCGCCTG